CCCCGCCGATATTTGGTAGCAAACCACATAAGGCGTTGGCTGGCATCGTCTCTTTGGGGACCAAGTGCCTGAAGTGCGTGAGGTGAGGCCCAGGTATTTCATCTGAAGCCCTACCTCGATGTCCTCCCCGTTTATATCCAAACACAGGTCGGGCAGAGGAGCCCCCCTACGCCGCCAGTCATAAAACCAGATAGCCTCCGACTTGGCTGCGGACACCCTCAAGCCCAGCCTGCGTATGGTACGTACCGCGCAAACGACGATGAGCTTGTCGTGACGCAATGTCTCGTACCACCAACGTCCCTCGGCCAGGAACAACGTGTCGTCAGCGTTAGACACCATGCCTGTGTCCGGAGTCATAAGACAGCGAAGCATCGCGTCGTAGCTGATGATCCACAGAATCGCTCCCAAAACAGAACCCTGCGGAACACCGCGCTCGACGGGTCGCCATCCGTCTTCGTCCCTGCCGGTGTACCGACCCACCTGTCGCTCAGGTAGGACAGGATAACACGAATAAGGTAAGGAGGCACCTCGAAGAATTCAAAGGCCTCCACTATCCCATCTTAGGGTATGGACTATGTCTAAGGATTTTTTCAAATTGTAAATACATTTTTCTCAAAATTGATTGATCATCTAAGGCTGAAATGACAGATTTGTTATATTTTACATACATATCAAATTTCATTTAAATCTGTAAGAACTAGGTATGAAAATTCCTTTGTTAGAGCATTCAGATATTTGAATGCTTCACCGAACAGCAAATGAATGTTCGGTTACAATTTTATTTTTTATTTTACTAAAATGGGGGAGATCGATTAGTCGCTCTGTTCGTCTAAAGCAAATCTAAAGGTCGGATTTTCTAGATGCGTCCAACGCACACGCTGCATTAAGAACGGTCAAAAACCCAACATTACTAGATTGAGAGAATAAAAATCCTTTCATAGTAAGGGATATAGTATAGTTGCTGAACTAGTGACGTCGTAATTCATACTACAAACAAATGGAGATGCAGGAACAGTATTGTAGATACAACGCGTGGAGATGTAAGACGAAATTCATGTTATATAACACATGTGACATAGCTGTAGAGTGAGGGTAATGTGATGTTATATTATCGTCAAATTAAGGATATCGCCTAAAAATCCTGGATAAGCTCGAATCATACAATATCCTAGCAAAAACGAGAGAATGCTTCTCTATTGTAACGGTAAAAATCAGTGATCTCGCAACGAGACAGTGTCACTTACGTGATTCGGGTTTTAAAATGTTTCTGACCTAACGCGCGCGTTAGATGCACATAAGAAACCTCTCCTTAAATGAACCATAAAAACCGACGATGTGTTACATACGTACATAAACGTTGATGTATTAATCCTATCCATATAAAATATAGAAGCTAAAATTAATCAAAAAATTCAGTTTATAAATTCGTTTTCCTTTTTCTTACCTTCAGACCCTTTTGTCTCGCTTTTTCAATTGCTATTCCAAAATTAAGGCAATCTCCAGTATAATTCGGAACAACCATCAAAATACCAGCTAGAAACATATTATACACATAAAACATTTTATAATTTAATGCGTTACATTATATAACTCCATTTAAGATTTATGATAATAATATTAATAATACACTTCTGATCATGTATGCTAAATTGTTTAAATTGAAATCAAGGAAATGACCTAACGCCTAAACTTTTAGTTAAATTTTCTAATATTTTTTTATATTTCAAAGCTTACGGAAGCAGCATGAAATTTTTTATCATCTGTTACTGGACACTCTGTATAGATAATAAAGATAGTACAAAATCTGTTTAACTTTGCGGAACTAAATCGGACATTTTGTGAAGTCTCGAAATTTCCGAAATTGGGATAAAAATTTTCGAAATAAAACCAGAAATTATTATTTCCTTTCCTTTTTTTCTAGAGGTATCTAATTCATCAAGAACTAAAATTTTGACAAATTTTTTTGGAATAATCAAAGTATTTAATGGTGAAATGGTACCAATTAAAATCTAAGCAGAGATGCAATTGAATTATTATCAGTCAAGTAAAAATAAATTTATATGTATCGTCACAATACGAGGTGTTTCGAAATTTCCAATGTCCTCTCTCTAGTAATTACATATGAAATAAAGAAAAAGAAAAATTGTAAGAGAAACAAAGGTGACATAGTGAAATAGTAAAATCCACCAAACTCCAATGAGTAGAGTTCACATGATTCAAAACTCGTACACGTGATTTAAGAGTCAGCTCAGAGGAGAACGATATGATTTCAGAACCAGCTGTTCCTCTACAATATATCTAAAAGAATTTTTCTGGGAAGTAAAAGAGTTATATTAATTCATTCTTTACTTGTATCCTGGGTGTTCCGGATCTATGATACATCGTTACACTACCAATCATTATACAAATTGATTTTTAAAATTTGATATGAGTGACTACGTGCGTATGGGCGCATACGACTGTAAATACAGACCAAATTGGCACCATTTTTTATTTTACGATCTCACTGTACCATTTTCACCAATCATATCAGAAATCAAGTCAAAATAGTCTATTATATCTAATACTATATTGTGAAGGTAAGTTTCGTAAAAATCGTAAAAAAACTAGTCATTTTGAAGATCTGTACTTTTCAAATATTTTAGATAAGAGGAAAATGATGACTTAAACATTTTTTTCGTATTAGTTATAACATATTCCAACTTGAAACAAATATCAGATATTCAGTACAAAAGTAACTTATTTAACGTAAATAACACGAAATGCTCAATTTTGGATTTATTCCATCTTGTTCTGTCTAAATCCAACGAAATTATAAATCTTACAACTTACTATTATTATATTGAGAAACACGGTCGATGGCATAAGAGATATGTTTTGACGGTGGTGCTGCGTATATTGAGCCTGCTACAGCCGCAGCTAACATACCATTTCCAACATAACCTAAAAGAATATTTGAAACTAATTTTATATTGTTTAATTTTACTTATACTATTATATATTCATTTAAAATTATATTATATGTACATATGTACATATATATTACATCTACATATATATAATAAAAGACGCCTTCGTATTTTTAATAGTTACAAAAATAGTAGTGCGTAACATTTATACCGGATATACTGTATCTACACATGTACAGTGTACAGAATTTAAAGATATTATTGATAAAAATTATCACAACGTAATTCTACACATCAGATTCGGTGAAAATTTAACTAAAAGAGCCTAAGCTTGTCTTTTAAGCTTGAAAATCAAAATCGTAAGAACAAATTTTTTTGCATCATATCTTACTCATCGCGAGAAACAACTTTGAAACTTTGTTAAGTCGCAACTTAACCGATGTTAAAGTTCTATTGTATATTGCATTCACATAATTTGTAATATGTTCATATTTAACAATCAAATAGGAAGTAAATAACAGGATATTAATGCAGGAATAGAAAATTATTTTTTGTTTTTAAATAGAACGAAACACCTATCTTCATGATTTCTAAATATTGCAAGATTACGTTTTGTATGAAAATAACCATCCTAGCAAAAATTAGATAACCACGATTAGGTGTTATTAGGTCCGATCCAGATGAGTGATTTTTGTCCGTGCGATATCGCTGCAATCATATATGTCTTTATTCATTTTGTCAATTAAGAACAACGAAGATAAACATATGATGACAGTAATATCGCGCGGATAAAAGTCGCTTGTCTGCATCAGGACTTCATTTTTTCCTCAGGTAGATACTTGAAGGACATATGAAGATCCACTATGTTTCTTGTAAATAGAATCACATTTCTTTATGCGTTGATCGGTACAACTCGTTATTCCACATAGGAAACTATCAAATTGGTAATTATGCCAAAAAGCCAGCTCAGAAGGTATTCATTATCTTTGTTACCTTGTTTCAAAGGCACAATTTATTAAAATATTTCCTGAACCAATTACTTTTTTAACATAACCAACTTTAGTAGTTTCTTGTGTGGAATAAAGAGTTGCGTTAACCAATATATACAAAAAATGCAAAAAGATACTGTTAATTATGCCGAGAAATGTTTCAATCAAAAGTTGAATAGCTTCTATTAGATGGACATTAATCGATGTAATTAGCATTTTCATAGGTGGGCGCGTAGAAGATCTTTGAAACTCAAATTTGTTTTCTTAAATGGAATTACCCATTTCAATATTCTCTATAAAAAGATGTTCAGCCATGTATGTTGCAAAGTTGTTTTGGAGATACTGTAACTCATATTTTGCAAAATAAAAATTAGAACATCTAATGAACTTCGATGTAAGTTGATAATTTTTTTATAGAGAATGTTAGACTTGGCGTTGTTTAATGTATAAAGGAATATATGATTCCTTTTAAAAAACAAACAAACAAAAGTACTAATTACGTCGATCATTGTCCTCCTCGGAATCATTCAACTTTTATTTGAAACATTTTTTGATATAATTGACAGTATTGAAAATATTTTAGCTTTCATCTTGGGTAACTCACCTTGTATGTAAACATATATATAACATTATATTTTAGAATATTTAACGACCCGACGACAGCAATTAGATTTTCGCACAAAACAAATTCTATTTTGCAGTAGCTAAGAACTTAATCAACTTATATTTTCTGCTACGGAATAATGAAAATATTTTAATTCCCGGGATCATTTTTATACAAATTTATATAAACGGGATTTCATTAAAATGATCAGTTCTGCCCGAGCAGCCGAGCTAAGCGGACGTGAAAAACAGTGCTTCAGAAAAGTGCGGCGAGTGGGGAAGAGAAAGTTACGAACGGCTACGCCCATAGCTAAATGGTGGAAACCCGTGTCTTCTATTAAGAAGACTACAAGCAAACGTACCATGAAAAAACAAATCTCACCGATAAAAATTATTAACAAGGACGAACAATACTACATAAATAAAACAACAAACACATCAAAAACAAGTCAACAAATAAACCAAGAACAGGACTGCTCAGTTACAATTGAAGTTGATATGGAAACCAATAAAAAAACAACTCAACAGGATGAAAGCTGGAAGGTGGCCAGCTACAATAAAAAACGAAAAATAATAGATAATCTAGATACGGAAAAGCAGCGATGGCTGCAAGAATTACCATTAAGAAACTCCTTCAGCTCGCTAACGGAAGAATTAGACGATGAACCAACAAGCAATACCACAATTCAACCAACACACATTACAAAACCACCACCAATATTTGTTGAGGCGCAAATAATAGACCCGCTTATTGATCAACTAAACAATATAGTTGGAAAGGATAATTACACAATAAAACAAACAAAATTAGAACATGTAAAAATCCAAACAATCACCCCAGAAAATTATAGGAAAGTGATAAAAGAATTAAAGGAAAAAGCCCCAGAAAATTATAGGGAAGTGATAAAAGAATTAAGGAAAAAAAATGCTATATACCACACGTACCAGCTCAAAACGGAAAGGAGCTACAAAATAGTTATAAGAGGATTACATCCAAAAATTAACACAGAAAAATTAAGTCACGAACTAGCAAAAATTGGCCATCAAACAAGAACAATAAATAATATAACAAGGTACGATACGAAGCAACCATTACCACTATTCTTAATAGAACTGGAACCCAGAATGAATAGCAAGGAAATTTATGAAATCAAAAAAATTCTAAACACAATAGTAACAGTGGAACCACCACGCTACAAAAAGATATACCACAATGCATGCGGCGCGAACGATACGGTTACACAAAAAAATATTGTAACAGGAGCCCGGCATGTGTTAAATGTGCAAAAAATCACTTAACAATACACTGCCCATACACAGGAAAAATAGAAAAAGTTAGATGTTATAATTGTAACGGAAACCACCCAGCTAGCTGTAAAGGATGTGTAATCAGGAAGCAACTTCAACGTAAACTGTTTCCATCAATTCGCAATAGATCAGTCGATAACTACCAACAACAACAAAGTACAACGGATAACGAAGCAACATTGAAAGCACAAAAGGAAATAAAAGCTATACGCAGAAACACAGATCCCCAAGGAAACCGAAGCTACGCGCAAGCAACCCAAAACATTAGACAAGCAACACCCATGAACAATCAGAGTCAAAGCAACAACACCGAAGACGCTACAGAAATCAAAGAACTACTAAAACAATCAATCAAAAACACCGAAGTACTTACAAAAATGATAAGCGAACAAAACGCAGTCCTCAGACAGCAAACACAACAAACAACAGTCATTAAAAATGGACATGCTTAAAATAGCAGTCTGGAACTCTAACAGCCTACAACAAAGGGCCCTAGAAACTAAAACATTCCTATACAACAATAATATTGACATACCACTCGTATCAGAAACACACTTCACTACAAAAAGTTACATAAAAATACCGTACTACACCATATATGATACCAAGCATCCCTCAGGAAAAGCACACGGAGGGACCGCAGTAGTAATAAAAAACGACATTAAACATCATTTACGCAGCCAGGTTAGTAAGGAACATATACAAGCAACTACCGTTACTGTACAAACTGGTAGCAATCAATTACAGCTGCAGCAGTATATGTACCGCCGCGACACAAAATTACATCACAAATGTGCGAAGAGTACTTTCAACATTTAGGTGACAAGTATATCGCAGCGGGAGACTATAATTCAAAGCACACACTATGGGGATCAAGAATCACTACACCTCGAGATAGAACCTTGAAAAACTACACTAGAAACAATAACCTCAAAATATTATCCACGGGAAGACCGACATACTGACCGACAGACTTGAGCAAAATACCTGACCTACTTGATTTTGGAGTTACAAAGGGACTAAACGCAAATAAACTAAACACAACACCCAGCCTCGAGCTTTTACCTCCAACCATACACCCATAATAATTACATACAGAAACAAACCAATACTTTACAGCAATTCAGAGACGCTATGCAATAAAACCACCAAATGGCAAACATTTAAAGAAATAATTGAGAGCAAAATCAACTGCAACATCCCATTGAAAACACCAGAACACATCGATCAAGCAGTAACAACATTTACAGAAACTATTCAAGACGCAGCAAGAGCAACCACTATACCTGAATCAACCAACAGACAAACAAAAATAATTCCATTAGACATCCTCGAAAAAATTAGAAAAAGAAGAAAAGCGAAAGCAAAATGACAAAAACATAGTGGCAAGTCAAATACCTAGGACTCCACCTAGAAACACAACTCACATGGAAACAGCATACTACGAAAGAAGAAATCGAAAATATAGAATAAAAATTTTTTTTTTATTTCTTTTTTTAATTTTTCCATCGAGACAACGATCTACAGTGAGATCCGTTATAACGTACCGCACGCGTACCGAGCGAAAATTCAAAGTCGATTTTCTCGAAAACAAAGCCTCAAACGAAAAATTTTTATTGTATATTTTCGACTTCTTTTTTCGCGTAGAATCGCCCCCTTTTCGCTTGTACCACCAGTTACCAACCACCCTGTATATATAAGGAAATTTGCAATAACTAAATTGTGTATCTCCTCGTACTTTATAAGCAATTTTGGCCCATCCTAACTGTTCTAATGGCATAAAAATAATAACCAAAGTCACCTGGGTCATCTAAATTGTACAATTAAATTTTATTTGTTAGAAAATGTTAAATTTCGCCATCGTCGATAACTCTGTGCAGATTTTCTTCGAGTTTTGTTCCGTATAAGGTGTTCACACATTTGACTTTATTTTTCATACCAGTGTTGTTTCTAATATACATATTATAGATAATAATATTATGTTACGAAGCACGAATAATTGTTTTCTTTTTCTATGTTTACTTGTTAATGTCATACAATAATTTTTAACATATTCATATTTAGAACACTATGGACATATTCAAAGTATATGAATATTATCGGTATGTTATTTGTTTGAGTATAATACAATTATATATCACAAACAAAAAATATAATCTATACCAAGTACGTTAACCATTTATGTTTATGTAGTTACAAAGTGCCATTGAATTACACTAATGTTTCATTTAGGCATTAATAAAAACCCTTATTATAATTTATAGCAATTTTTTAAGGAAGTGTTTAACAAAAAGGAAACAATTTAATGATATTACTGATTATGAGCTATTTGAAAAAGTGGAAATAATTTAAACCTTTTATTGAAAAAATTGAAGTGATAATTGTAGCGTCTGTTTCAAAACTCAACATACTATAATCAATAATAATTAACTTTACATAACAAAAGGCCCGTAAGCAACAAGAAGTTTAATAATAATTATACTTATAATTACATTTAATTCCAGTTTATTCCGAATAGATTGGGTGTCATTTTTCTACAAAATAGAGAATAACATTAAAGAACAGCCGACAATCGCTAATTAAATACCGGAAAAAGCATGAATTAAAATCAGGGTACAAATTTAATCAAGACATATCAAGGAAAGCATAAAGTGAAAAGGATTGAATTCAAATAAAAATGTTTAAGCAGGCGTCATTTTAATGGTACTAGATTACATTAAATCCTATGGAAAGAAAATTTGATTCTTTTTAACATCACATTAAAGTTATAAAAAGAAACAATCTTGTGAAAAGAAATCTATCTAAGAACAGAATTGGTTCCATTATTTAATTATTATGTAAATACTATCTATTTATAAACATATAAATATGTTGTTTTTTAGTATATACAGTTTATATATTAAGTATAAGTATATTCTATACTTTTTATATATTTGGTATAACAAACAGTTTTCAATTTTAGTACAAAATTATAGCAGAAATAAAAATGAAACAGGAATATAAAAATCTTGTCACAAAATTTGAAATTATATATACAGGATAGGACACATAAATCGGAACACCAAAATATGAAAAAACTTCACAGAATTAAATTATACTATTTTAAAAGGCACATGCAATTGGTACATAATGTTTTTTCCGAAAGTTACTTTTTTAATGAGATTTCAAAGGACATCACCATTTTTTTGGACAGGGCCATATCCTTTATATATTATTAAATCTACTTCGGCATTATCTATAAAAAAAGCATTAACATATGTATGTCAACAAACTATTAATTTAGCAAATATTTTAACTCTAATTTATCAAATTTAATATAGAAGAGTCTTTTTGTTTCTTATACGTTAAATTTGACAAATTAAAATTAAAATATTTATTAAACTAATAGATCCTCGATATAAATATGTTAATACTTTTTATAGGTTATACAGAGGTGGATTGACTAACGTATTAAAAAATGTGGTCCTATAAATAAAATAGTGATGACCCTGAAATCTCATAAAAAAATGACTTCCAAAGAAAACATTATCTATCATTGCATGTGCTCCCCCAAATAGTATAACTTTATCCTGTGAAGCTTTTTCACATAACCATTAATAACGGAGATATTTAGGCGTTTGTAATTGTTTCCGATTTATATGTCCTACCCTGTATTTAAGATAACATTCAATTAACATGTTCCATATATTAAAAATATGTATCCAATATAGTCTTTAAGTATTTAAGTTTCGTTAGTCTTGTAACTACATAATGTAGGAAAGTTTCTTAGAAAATTAAGGAATTCCCAAATCCTTAAAAAATTTTGTTTTTTATATTACATAATTAATAGTCCCTAAACGCTTCGAAAATTTATATACGCATATACTTTTATACCGAACTGCAAATAAATTATGTTTACTGTTTCTTCCCTTGAATGAATTACAGTTTTATTTACTTATATCTTACATAAAATACATTAAGTTATTGGTTTAATGTATTTAAATGAAATTAATAAATCCAGGTAGGATATTTATTTTTATACTTGCTAGCATTTAAGAAGTATGATATGACTCAAAATAAAATTGTGTTCATAATACATAATAACATGCATATAGTGTTCCGATTTTTTAAAAAATAAAATAAGCGCATACCAGCCGCGAAAGGTTCGTGTCCACTTCCACCGCCGCATATCAGGGATACCTTATGTTTCCGTTCTTGAAGCTAAAATACAGCAAATTATTAGTAAGATTGTTCATGGAAACGCCAACATATATAGTAAAATCATGACAACATTAGGTGTTATTCGTATTAATTTGTTTCATACAGAATATTCAAGGTTATGTACGTACGTTTGGCATCAAAACGACTTTATGAAATTCTTGATACTCCAATTGCGGAAATGCAAACGATAATCCCAAAAGAGATTCCGTGACGGCATTATTAATTTCGTTAACTAAACTCTTCATAGTTCTGAATAAAATTTTCGTAGGATACACACTGAAGTAAACGTAGCTGTTCACGAAATCGTTCTTCTGCGTACTGTGAACGAAGAACATTCAAGATTAATCTTCACTCAGAGGTCAAGAGTTATCGCACACGTTGAAATCGCAATAAAGACACCAATAACCCTGAATATACACGAGCTACACTTTACCGTGCGATTCCACTGCGATCGTATATCTGACTTTGTCGTATTTAACAGGAAAACAAAGAAAAACATATGATCGCAGTGGGATCGCGCGATAAAATATCGCTTGTCTGTATTCAAAATAACACATATGTATTTATCATGAATGTTAACCAGTTAAGCGAAATGCAATTAGATAACATCGAGTATTTCTTTACACTTTGTGTATAGTGAAACTACACCATTTCTTAATGAATCTCATTGATACTCGAACGTCACACATACTAGCTTGCAACGACTTATGTAATTTTTCTTTATGTTTATATATTTATTAACGTATAATAATATCTATGAAACGTATTAAAATTGATTAATATCTTTAACTCCGATTATATGTTAACTTCTGATAATCTTAGTTTTGTAAGTGCTACTATATTGCATTTGAATAAATATTAAAAGCACGTGACAATTGGGAAAATTACGAAAATTTCGTTAAGATAATGAAAATGGGACTGTTTAAAACACTCTCGCTACCACGGACGACTAAAGTCGCTCGCCACGATACCTTTGTTTAGATACCACAGGCAACTGAAGTCGCTCGTCACGAAAATAATCCAGTCAAATTAAGCCTAACAAAAGCGAATCCATAAACAAATTGACAATAGAAATTTTTGGATGATATGGAACGATATTTAAAACAAAATAAACGACTTTGAAACAATTTTCCTCCGGTACTTCATAAATAAAATATTGATTAAACGAAAAATATATGACTTTTCTTATATTTCGCTTTGTATGTTAAAAAGCATTTGTCATCCAACAAAAGGGTTTAAATGGAAAGTTATGTAGATCATAGAATTATCCGTAAAATGAGACCTATTACATTACAATAAGTCCAATTTGTAAGTTACAAATTAGTAAAAAGTGCCAAGAAATCCTTTTTCTATAAATCGTTTATAACTTTAATTAAAAGCAATATCGAGGAGCTGTGATAAGTAAGTACTATCAGAGAGGAAATGAGAGTGCTCACGCTCGTAGTTCTGGTTGTTTCAGAGTACAGGTGCTGCACCATGCGGCCAAGTGCTCAATTCAGATAAAATTAACGTATACAAGAACATATAAAATTAGGGATCTGCCCTGTTTGGTTAAAATTTAGCATATACAAGAACCTATGTACTTTAGCTTAAAGTTAGGGATCTTCCCTGCTTGGTTATACAATACCATAGACAAGAACCTACTGAGTTCCACGCTACAAGAAACTATTTAACCTTGCCTTGCAATTTAAGTTCCAATAGCGCTAACCGTAAACAGCAAGAAGATCGGTCACACATCAAGCCATTTCACGGTTTGGCTGAGCGTTTGGAGTTATGCAAATCGTACATGTCTTTTGATATGTAAATGCATGTGTAAGGTACAGCTAATTTTATTTTGCAAAATGTTTAATAAGTAATTACTACCAATTGGTCATTGAATAAGAAAGATTTATTATCTTGAAGTAAATAGTAAATCAATAACATCAACGAACCACGTCTCTCACACGATGGACAATTGCACGGTTCTACGGAAAAGTGCATACCTACTTTTCTATCCGAGATAAACAAATAGGAAAATGACAAAATTTTTTTTATTATCATTATTTAATTTGTATTTTACAACTTGCCCAGCTGAACATTCGGTAAATTTTTCTAGCTTAATTGCTAAATAACATGTGCTACTCCAGCGGGATACCATATTCCAGTTTGACTATTTTATTTCCATAGTGAGGTCAATGGGGTGTTTTCTTTTTAATCCTCTTTTCATGAGAGTTTTGCTCGCTTCAGCAGCCAGCTAGTTTGGATGTGCTGCCGTTTTTTCCTTGTATTTTTCTGGGTACCTGCCAATTTCTTCTTTGACCGTTGGTATTTTTAAGTCTTTTCGTATATCCTAATGACAAAATTGCGGAATAGTGAAACTAATTGTAAGTTGCCTAAGAAGGAGAAATTAATTGTTTACTATATTTTTGTAGAGGAGAAAAGAGAAAATTCTTTTTCAAACGATCAGTAGAGTGATACAGTAATTTTTATATTTTTCCGAACACCATTTAAATTTAACATTAATCCTCAGCACTTGGCATGTCAATTGTACTGGCATGAATATTTTTTCATTGTCGCATGGAACTATATCCTATATCGTTTTCCTTAGTATGTACGATGGTGTTTGTTAAGGCAAATTCAACGACATTGTATATGAGCTCATTTATTGTTGTAAAATGTTATAAATTAATCAGTTCATAAGGAATTAAGTGAGCCAGACTCACTAGCTACTGGCTATTAGATTGCAGTAAACGCTGTAAACAAATATCGAAACCAACTTCTCAAATTACCAAACATTACTGAATCATGAAAACTGACTTTAGTTGACATACTTTAGACGAATAAAAATTGTACATGTTAAAAATACCTATCAAATAAGATGTCACATGTTAAGATTGGTAAATTCGTCGACTCATAAATAATAAAAACTGTCCAAAATCGCACTATTTCAATTACCAACTATTGAAATTGAGAATGCGAAGTTGAAAGTTAATGAAAATGTAGTTCTTGTCAGATGTATGAAAATGTGAATTTCGAATGCCTGGGATAACCGCCTGACTTTCGTCATCCTTCACTGTAGAAAGAGAAAACGTCAACACTTGAAGGTTTTGACAAAGTGAACCATAAAAGCCCCTTACAAACAATCAAAAAACATTTCCCGGAACAAATCCATCACTTACTCAAATCATACTTAAACAACAGAACCTTTGTAATAAAAATAAAAGATGTATATTCTCAAGTAAAAGACATCAAGGCACGGGTACCGCAAGGAAGCGTCTTATGACCAATGTTATGCACACTCTACACGGTCGACATACCAACAACTATCAACAGCAAGATACTGACATTCGCGGACAATACAGCCGTACTAGTCAGACACACTAACCTAGAAACGGCAGTCAAATTACTACAAGAACATATCACAAAAATAGAAAAGTGGCTGCAAGATAAACAAATAGAAGCAAACCCCTAGGTATTTGACTTGCCTTCTTTGCGATATATGCGTGCCGTTCAGTAGGATGTTTGGTGGTGTCTGTTTTCGCAGTGTGAATGTAGTATGGTTGCATTTATCGGGGTTTGCTTTTATTTGTTTATCTTGCAGCCACTTTTCTATTTTTGTGATATGTTCTTGTAGTGATTTGACTGCTGTTTCTAGGTTAGTGTGCCTGACTTACTAGCCGTACTCGGCTGTGTCGTCCGCGAATATCAGTATTTTGCTGTTGGTAGTTGTTGGTATGTTGGCCGTGTATAGCGTGAATAGTATTGGTCCTAAGACGCTTCCTTGCCGAACCCCTGCCTTGATATCTTTGACTTCAGAGTATGTGTCCTTGATTTTTATTACGAAGGTTCTGCTGCTTAAGTAAGATTTTATTAATTGGTATATTTGCTCCGGGAATTGTTTCCTGATTGTTTGCAGTAGGTTTTCGTGGTTTATTTTGTCAAATGCTATGTCCATACAGAGGGCTGTACAGTATTGTTTGTTTTCTAATGCTAGTATTATTTCGTTGATGAGCCCGTGCATTTCCTCTATAGTGGAATGTTTGTTTCTGAATCCGAATTGGTGATCTGGTATTAATTTTTCCTACTCCATTATTGGTTTTAAGCGGGCGTAAATTATTTTTTCTAGTATTTTGGAAAACACGGGAAGTAGTGATATTGGTCTGTAAGATGCTGTTTGATGTGGGTCTTTTCCTGGTTTGGGTAACATTATGATCTGTGCTAGTTTCCATAGTTTAGCAAAGTATTGAATTCTTAGTATTGCATTAAATATTATTGTCATTAGTCTTATCGCTTTTGGCGGAAGGTTTTTTCAAGATTTTAGCATTGATTAGGTCGATTCCTGGTGCTTTATTAGTTTTTGTTTTCTCGATTATGATTCTAATTTC